AATTTAGGTTTAATCCCAATACCTCAATATTCATACCCCTCTGGATAAATATGGTAGACTGCATTGATAATTCCGGTTCTCTCTCTTTTTTTTTATCTTCACCCGAGGACATTTTTTCATTTTTTGTTCAGATAGAGTGGGAGGGAGAGAGAGGAAGAGAGAAAGAGAGAGAAACATCGACGTGAAAGGGATGACACATCGAGTGGTCGCCACCCACATGACCCAACCAGGACCAGGGACAAACTGCAACCGAGGTACATGCCCTTAGCGGGAACTGAACCCAGGTCTCTCTGGACTGCAGGCCGACGCTCTAACCATTGAGCCAAACTGGCCAGGGTGTTAATTCCATTCTTATGTCACCAAATTAAGGTTATACAGCTCACCATTTGCCATGTAACTTGCAACTACCCTCTCCCGCCCCATACACACACAGTAGATGAGGAGCTTATGCTCTATCCCAACTGATGTTTAGCTTGGCTGCATGACTGACTTTGGCCAACAGAATCATAGCAGGCAATGACCAAGCAGAAACCTCAAATGTGCATAGATGTTTGGCTTGCCCTCTTGTATTTCTTCCATTCTCTATGATAAGAATATATATACCTTGAAGAGATTCTGGTCCAAGGAAAATAAAGCTCTGTAGAGCAGACCTGAACCCAACCTACTTCCTGGAGTCCAGCTTAGCTCAGTCAAGATCAACTGAACCCCAGTCAACAACTATAAGACCCATGAGAAAAATAAACTCTTGTTGGTTAGGGAGAAAAAGAAGGTAAGCAACCATAAACTTAATAGAAACTTAATTTTTTTTTCAAAACTTAATAGAAAATATAGCTAAAGACAGAACATGATTAACTGTCAGACTGATGGAAGAATTAATAATATATTTATTCAGAGAAGGGAGAGATCATAAAAGGCTGGTTTATTCTGTCAGTTTTGTTTTCTTCACACATTCCGCATAAATTCATACGAAATGAAAAATTTAATTAGAGATACATAATGCACATTTTTAGGAGAAAGACATAAAAACATTTCCTTTCAATTTCTAGACTAAACCTTTGGAGTTTGGGACTGGCCTTACCATGATTGTGGCTGTGGCAGTGGCATACTCTCCACCTCCCCAACATTCTCCAATATTGGGGCATCGAGCTTCCTCACACACCTGTGAATGAAAAGGAACTGAATACAATCAGGTTGGAAATATTCACCAGTTGAACAAATAAGTGATCAGACATTTTACATGCTACATCTTTGTAACATACTTATGAAGAAATTCACTATTCAAAAATGCCGTTAAACTGCCAAACTATATATTTATTAGGATCCATTTTTAAGTTAAAAACTATATGAATGTATATATTTTACATGTGCAAAGAAATCGTCTGAAAGAATTATATATTAAACAGTTAAGTTTCACATTTAACATTATACTCTTTCCAACAAGCATGTTCTTAATTTGTAATATAAAACAACAAACCCTCATTTCCTAAGTTGCAGGAAATCTTTTATTTATTTATTTATTTTTGAAAATCTTTTATTTTTTTCACTATTAAATGAGAAGCTAAGAAATTTAAATTCAATTACTTTCTGTTTCTTTTGCAGGAAAATGATTTTTAAATATATTCCCATTACCAATAGAAATGCATCCTAAACACTTTCTTTGCTGTTACTGACATATATTTTATTAATTTTTAAGTTACATATACATAGAAAATGTATGACTTTTGGTTAAGAAAAATATTTAGCACTTTGACAACTTACTGTATGTAGATTTAAATTCCGCAAAGTATTTTTCAGTTTATTGTAATTTTTCCCCATGGGAATCTCTGTCTTTAGCCATGGAGGTAGTCTTAACCTGAGGAAAATGAAAACTATCCATTAACAAACACTTCCTCAAATAATCACAGCTTTGAAATTACTTTGATCTACTAATTCCTAGTTAAGAGATTTTTTTCCCCCTCCATAAACCTGAATTAACTCTTATACGTTCTGCCATAGGAGTAAGAACAGAGATTCAAATTTAGGCTTGCTCAAACACATTAGAAAACACTGATATTTATGTCTAACAGTGCACTATACTCATGTCTATCACTTGCAAAGACATAAAGTACCCCTATGTTCATAGCAGCACTATTTACAATAGCTAAGATCTGGAAACAGCCCAAGTGTCCATCAGTAGATGAGTGGATAAAAAAGCTGTGGTAGCCCTGGCCGGTTTGGCTCAGCGGTTAGAGCATCGGCCTGCGGTCCCGAGAGACCTGGGTTCGGTTCCTGCTAAGGGCATGTACCTTGGTTGCAGTTTGTCCCCGGCCCTGGTCGGTCGTGCGGGTGGCAGCCACTCGATGTGTCCCTTTCACATCGATGTTTCTCTCTCTTCCTCTCTCTCCCTCCCACTCTACCTGAACAAAAAATGTCCTCGGGTGAGGATTAAAAAAAAAAAAAAAAAGCTGTGGTACATATACACAATGGAATATTATGTAGCTGTAAGAAAGATCTCTTATCCTTTGAGACAACATGGAGGGAATTGGAGAGTATTATGCTAAGTGAAACAAGCCAGGCAGAGAAAGACAAATATCACACGATCTCACCTATTTGTGGAATATAACGAACTAAACAAACTGATGAACAAAATAGACCCAGAGACATAGAAGTGGGGTACAGACTGACAAACCTCAGAGAAGGGAGTGGTGTGGGAGAAGAGATGAACCACAGAACTTATATGCATTTATCCATAACCAATGGACATAGACAACAAAGCTGGGGACGGGGTGGGGGAGATGGGGAGGAGGGTGTCAATGGGGGAAAAAAGAGAAACATCTGTAGCAAAAATAAATTAATAAAAATAAAAAAAGAATGAAGAAGTTTTGAACATCTCATTCCCCAATGAAAGCTACTGACCCAATATTCTATATTTTTCAGAATAAGAAAAGACAAGTCTGATTTAACAAGTCTGATTAAAAATATACTTTAGCTCTGGCCAGTTGCTCAGTGGTTAGAGCATAGGCCTGCAAACCAGATTCAAGGGTTCGATTCCCAGTCAAGGGCACTAGCTTGGTAGCAGGTTGGATCCCTGCCCCCTGGGAGTAGTGCAGGAGGCAACCATTTGATGTGTTTCTCTCACATCCCATGTTTCTCTTTCTCTTTCTCCCTCTCTTTCTCTTTCTTTCTCTCTCTCTCTCTCTCTCTCTCCCTCCCTCCCTCCCTCCCTCCCTCCCTCCCTCCGACTCTGTCTGAAAAAAAATCAATGGAAAAATACCCTCAGGTATTAAAATATATATATATTTATATATATATTTAAAATATATATATATATACTCTAAGGTCCTGCCAGTGTGGTTCAAGTTGTCCCATACACCAGGAGTCACACCAGGTTGGATTCCGGGTCAGGACACATGCTTGGTTGTGGGTTTGATCCCCAGTGGGGGGCATGCAGGACGCAGTGGATCAACATCAATGTTTCTCTCTCCCCCTCTCCTTTCCTCTCTCTGAAATCAATAAAAACATATTAATTTTTTTTCTTTATTGCTATATTAGAGTGACAAAGGAAGGGAGAGGGAGAGACAGATGGAAATATCGGTAAGACAGAACATCGATTGGCAGCCTCCTGCACACCCCCCCCCCCCAACACACACACTGGGGATCAGGCCCACAACCTGACCGAAATCAAACGGGTGACCTCTTGGTGCATGGGTCGATGCTCAACCACTGAGCCACACCGGCCAGGCAATAACAACATATTTAAAAAATAATAATAAAAGTATACTCTAGGGCTTGGTTATATTTGAAAATAATGCACAATTAAGGAACTAAAATGATCTCAAAATTTCAATTACCTTTCTCCTTTATGGCGTTTTAAGTTTCCTTTATATTCATCCCAGGTGCTCTTGTCTGCAAGATCACCAGATACAAAATCTTGAAGGTCTGGTCCATTCTGTAAAAATCCCTTTTTTTCATCTGGCAAGGAACTTACTGCTCTGACTGAACTGCATAAATATTTTCCAAATACCTAAAGAAAGAGTTCATTATGACATTTATTTAGTGGGGTTTGGAATAATTTACTTTTAACCTATTTAACACTCCCTCTTAATATTCCCTGCAGATACCAAAACACGAGGCTGCTCAAGTCCCCTACATAAAATGAACTGAGACAACGCACACAATCCTACCTTCTCATCTGGACTCTCCAACACAGATCAAAAACAGTGCAGGTACTTATAGAAAAAAAAAAAAAATCCCGTCTAAGTGGACCTTTGCAGTTCAGACCATTGTTGTTCAAGGGTCAACTGTACATTTGTTAACCATAAAAAACCATCAGCTTCTAGATCTAAACACAAACGTGACAAGATAGCCCAAAACCTATAAAATTCATGAATCAGTCATCTAACGCAAAAGAATCTTCAATGCATAAAAAGCGCCTGTTAATGGTGCTGCACGATTGCTACATCACTTGTTCTTGTCCCTGGTTTGTGTTCTCAGAGTGGTATGTAGTACATAGTAAGAGTCCAACACAAAATAGTAAGGGGTGCTCAACATAGTGCTTCTATAATACTCCAAAAAATACAGGGTACAAATCACTGATAAACAGAACGAAAAGCTCTCAGTGTGGGCCAGAGAACCTACAAGCAAATATCAGAGGCTCTACCACATGGGGGTGTCGGGAGCATTAAATGATACATGGAAAAAGTTTAGAACAGTGCTTGGTCAGAAATTGTTGGCCTTATTTTGGGCGAACTGAAGAGATGGGAGTCCTCCACCCCACGCTCGCATTCTGCAAATCCCGCCGCTCACCCGGGGCCTCACGGAGCGGACGACGACCCCGCAGCGCAGCGACATCTCCCTCTTTTGTTTTCTAGCAGTCGGGGGATCTAATTCCCAGGAAAAAACCGTCTCACGATTTATGACATATCACCGGAGCCGCCAGACACGGTGGAACCTTAAGCTGCCTCGCGATTGGTTGCTATAGTCTAGTGGCGTCGCGCGCTCATGACGCCATACGCAGGGCCCTTACGGCTACAAGAACGTGATGACGAAAGACGCTTCCTCTTTGCCGCATCTACTGCGAGGTGAGGTTATGTCTGTAGTCGCCGGGCCCTGGCAATCTGAAGCCATCGGCTCTAGGAAAAACAGCGGTGCTTGTCTGGCGCTCGGAGGCTTTATGTTGGTTGTCCCCTCGCGTGGCAAGCCCCATATGGATTTGGCGGCACTAGGATTTCGAGCTCTGTCCTGGGCTTTTAGGCCAACCCCCGCCCCTTAGCCTTGCCGGGATGGCGCCTCCCTGATAGGGCTCCGAGGTTGGCGCTGGGCCGGAGTTCGCCCGCTGGGCTGGTGACAGCCGCATAGGAGTTGCTGCTTGTAGGTCAGGACGCAGCAGGGGGTCCTCTCCCTGTTGGTCCGCCTGTGACCTCCCCAGGACTTTTGCCTGCTGGAGTGGAGCTCTGGGCAGGGTAGTTTGGTGGAAAATAGCCCCTGCTCAGTCAGGTCTTCTTACCCCGTGTTTGTATTTCAGGATGAAGACCATTCTCAGCAATCAGACTGTCGACATCCCAGAAAATGGTAGGAGACTTGACGTTTGCCTTTTTCTTACGTCTTTACTCTGGGCTCTGTACCTTGTTCCGAGGCCTCACCAGTGCGTTCTCTCCTAGTCGACATCACTCTGAAGGGACGCACAGTTATTGTGAAGGGCCCCAGAGGTACCCTGCGGAGGGACTTCAACCACATCAATGTAGAACTCAGTCTCCTTGGAAAGAAAAAGAAGAGGGTGAGTGGTTTTTCTGTTTGTTTTGTTTTCCACGCTTCGATTGCTTGTTTGGAAGGTTGTGAGTTAGTAGCACCATATTTGTCTGCTTTAAAAATTACAGAATTGAAGTTTAATGTTTTAGCTTAAAATCTGGTGTCCAAAGTTGTAGCTAGCTTTGGTGGTAGTGTTTTAGTGAAGTTGGAGAACCAAGTTCCCAGGAGTGGGTTATAAAGCTTCTTATTAGTAATCATTGTTAGAAGTAGGTCTTATTACTGTTGCAAGTTAGCTTTAGTTTCCTCGTGATTGTTTTGCGAGAATCTTAGGGACCGAACAGTAGTAGACTTGTAAACCTAGCATTTTAGTTTTCTAAGAGTAAAGTTTGGTGCAAAGTGGGTGTTTCTGGGTTGTCATTCTTCTATAAGATTATGTACCTGTGATGAATAGTAGTAATAACAGTGTTTGTTAATTATCGAGGGTTTTATATGTGGTTACATTTTTCAAGTTGAAAATCATGGGCTTTTTAATTAGACCTAGTATTAGACTCTAGAGTAATTTTATGGATACATGGACTGCTTTCTTCTGAGCCTACTTATTACTGGAAAGAATCTGCTAAAGTTTTTGTTCTGTTACAGCTCCGGGTTGACAAATGGTGGGGAAATAGAAAGGAACTGGCCACCGTTCGCACTATCTGCAGTCATGTGCAGAACATGATCAAGGGTGTTACACTGGTAAGCAAATTGACTAGACAACCTGTTTTAGAAGGGGAGATTTATTGACTGTACTTCATGCAACCTAAGTGTCTACAGTAGAGAATAGATTATGCATGCAATTTATTGAGGTTCTTCAGCTCTGGGATATGGGAAAAGGTGATCTTAGCAAATGTGTTTAATAGAAAATGTAGTACATAAGGAAGGCTTCTTGTTGGTATGGCTCTCACTTCCAAGGCCTCTTGTAGTGATAAAAAAAGATGGATCTAATTTCTGAGCTCCCTGTTCATTTCCCGAAAAGCATATTTGATGTCACTATTCTCTTTCCAAACTCCTCTGCCCCAGCCTTTAAAGTAAAATGTATGATTCTGCCTCTGCTGAAATGCTTTTCTTTTCATTAAGACTCCGCCCTCCTAGAGTACACTTGATAATGGCAACCTGTACTTAACTTCATTATAAGCCTGTCTTGTCATGTTTGTCCCTTGGGGGCAGGTGCCTGTCTTGATATCCTCAGTTCTTGCCATCTGGCCTACCTTGGTAACTTAGTAAATGTTAGTCTAATGTCCAAGGTAAGGACTTTGTGGGGGTTCTTATTTTAAAAAGCTAGCATTGATTACTGTGGGCATAGGAGGTAGTAAAATAAAGCTTCCTTAATACAGTCATAATATTGTAATAGCTATGTATGGTGCCAGGTGGGTACTGGAAATATTGGAACACTTCATAAAGTATATGATTGTCTAACCACTATACTGTACATCTGAAACTAATATAAAGTAATATTGAATGTAAACTAATTGAAAAAAAAAACACATTTTTTTAAAAGTGCTTTGTTAAGGAGCTTTACTAACACAGTGAGGAGACACTGAAACATGTTTATGCATAACATTTTGGTAAGGCTTGGTTCAGGTGACAGTTATAAAACCTTGACAATGAGTGCTAGGTGAGGACTGTTTCTTTTTTAAATTATAAGTATACTGTAAGTACCCCACAAAATTTAGTTATTTAATTTTTTAAATTTATTTTTGTAGCAGATATCCCCTCCCCCCCTTGATACCCTCCTCCGCATCCCGTCCCCTAACATTCCACAAAATTTAAAAACTGGATTTCTTTTTCAAATTTCTTCAGCATTGCTAATTGTTTGCTTAACGTAGGGCTTCCGTTACAAGATGAGGTCTGTGTACGCTCACTTCCCCATCAACGTCGTTATTCAGGAGAATGGTTCTCTTGTTGAAATCAGGAATTTCTTGGGCGAAAAATACATCCGCAGAGTTCGGATGAGGTCAGGTATGTGCATAGTTTCAGATCGATTCAGAAATGTTTTCTTTACTTGTGAAAGCTGGTGTTTGAAGTTAGCTATAAATAAAACCAGAGTATCTGTAATTGGGAACGTTTATGATTGAAAGAGTGGAAGGGAGGAGGAGAGAGAAACAGTGATGTGAGAGAGACACATGAATTGATTGTCTCCCACATATGCCACGGCTAGGGATTGAACCTGCAACCCAGGTAACATGCCCTTGTCTGGGAAATGATCCTGAGACCCTTCTGCTTCAGGGCTGATGTTCTAATCACTGAAACATACCAGCCAGGGCATGTAGAAAAGCTTATAAGCTCTCTGGATGCTGTTTTATTCCATTGGGGTCGGGAGGGTTGGGAAGAAGGGATTTTTAGTACCAATTTAATTGCTCTACAGGAATCTTATGTATTAGATATGGTCAGTATTTAATTACAACCCTTATGTAAAAAATCTTTGAGGGCTACCAAATACAGAGCAGGATGGAAAAAAATATAAGAATAAACTGTTTCCTGTGCTCACAACTGTAAACTTACTTTTGTCCCACCCTGTATATACAGTAGAAATAAGACTTGATACAAGCTTTGTGCACCTGAAATGTACTAACTGAATACCATCTTCTCATAGTCCTTAATTGAATCACAGAGTCTGTCTATTCTGGGAGAGAGTATTTCAAGAAGGAACACAAACAAGATTTTGGCCTAGATAAATTAGCTTCTGTTAAACTAAAACTTCTATCCAGAGAAGTTTTATTTGGTCTGTGGAGTTTTAAGTGGGATAAATTGCTACTTGATTTAAATACTTTTAAATTAAATATTTCCTCTGTATATTTGATTTTATGTTGACACTATGCAAATATCCTCTCTTCTTTTAGGTGTTGCTTGTTCAGTATCTCAAGCCCAGAAAGATGAGTTGATTCTTGAAGGAAATGACATTGAACTTGTATCAAATTCAGGTTTGTATGTATATTGTGCCTATAAAATTTTGCTTATGTATTGTAGTTGAACGTGTGCTAGTGTGTTCATTTGGTGAGCTTTTTTTAATTGTGGAAATTAAATGAAAAGCTTTCCTCAAAATATTTAGGTTTTAAGATGGGTTTGGCTGGTTAAGTAATTGCCTTATCTTTTATAGCTGCTTTGATTCAGCAAGCCACGACAGTTAAAAACAAGGATATCAGAAAATTTTTGGATGGTATCTATGTTTCTGAAAAAGGAACAGTTCAGCAGGCTGATGAATAAGATCTAAGGTAGGTTCTTGTAGTGTCTACGTTTTATTATTGCTTTAGTTGGGGGTGATCTTAATTTACTGAGACTTAAATGAGTTATTATAGTGGCCGAAAAAGAAGAGTTGCATTCTGAAACAGTAAATTTGACAGAAGAAGAGCTAGAATTGCATACATTTTTAAGTATGAATCTAAGTATTTTAGATTTAGAGAACTTTTATGGGTAAGAATTTTGATGGAGATTTACAGACATTTTTATTTCTTTTTACAGTTGTCCAGCTATAGAAACACCAAGATGCCGAATGATTTTCACACTTATTTGCGATATTTTAAAGATGCAATAAAAGCCTCGTATTGATTTGGGACTTTTTTCTTAAACTGATAATTCTTTCCAACTATTTGGCAAGTAAACAGTTAAGTTTCTAGTAAGACTTCATGGGAGAAGTTATTTCTTTTTTGAAGGACTATCAAGGGTATTTCAGGCAAGAAGAATATGGTACCAGTGACAGGCAACACTATGTGGCTGTTCATCATTGGATGCAGGATTTTGGGGGTGGCCTGAAGGTATCTATTTTTGCAGAGGCATGAATTTGAATATCTGAGGCAGTTGTGTCTGAATGACTTGTCTAAATACCAGTAACTTATTGTGGAAAGGCAGCTGGGAAGTGAAACAAAGTGAGCCAAAGTGGGAGATGCAGTTAATTTGTGTTTATGATAAATATGGTTGCTGTGGTTCATGGTCCTCTCCATGTTATCCTCTACTGTACATCATTCATTTACTCTCATATTCTACTCCTTAGTATTTTAAAAAACTGATAATACTTCCCTAATTTCCTAATATCATGTGTCACACTTCAAATATATAATCCTTGGTTTGATTATTATAATTAAGTTTTCAAAAAATGAATGAAATGATAAATCTAAGATTGCTTTAAAATATTGAGGTAGTGTTGGGGTAGGAATTGGATGGGGTTTTAGGTGAAACAAGTTATTTCTAACTTGATAATTTGTTGAAGCTGAAGGAGGGATTCATTATACTATTTCTACTTAGATAAAGTTTTTAAAAGTTTTCATAATGTGGAAATGAAACAAAAACCCCTGTATATTTTGCCTAGATTGGTGTAATAGCCTTTTTTTTTTTTTTCATCCTTGCCCGAGGACATTTTTCTTGCATTTATCTTCAGATAGAACGGGAGGGGGGAAAGAAAAACATCGATGTGAGAGAGACCCATTGACTGGCTGCCACCCTCATGACCCCAACAGGGGCTGGGGACAAACTGCAACCGAGGTACTTGCCCTTAGCGGGAACTGAACCTGGGACTCTCTGGTCTGCAGGCCGACACTTTAACCGCTGAGCCAAACAGGCCAGGGCAGTGTAATAGCCTTTTAACTGGTCACTTTTGCTCCTCTCTTCCCCATGTTTCAGCAGCAGTCAGAAGAATGCTTTTTATAAATTCTGAACTCTCGACTTTTCTGACTACACTGACTGAACAGACATTTCTGTTCATCAGTACTGCTGCCCCTAAGCCTTTAAGTTGTCTTTCCCTTTGGAAGTTGTCTTTGGACAATGACCTTCAAGTTTTAGTAAAGCCCACCTTGACCACCCTATTGTGCTCACTCCTCACCCCCAGCCTAGAATACCCTTACCCTTTTTCACTTATGTTTGTAGCATTTATGATGTAGTATTTGTAGTTTTGTTACTCTTCACCCGAGGATATTTTTCTGTTGATTTTTAGATAGAGGGGAAGGGAGGGAGGGAGTTAGAGAAAGAGAGAAAAACATCAATGTGAGAGTGACACACTGATTGGTTCCCGACTCTGACTTGACTTGGGCCAGGGATTGAACCTGCAACCCTTCAGTCCATGGGCCAATGCTGTAACTGCTAAGCCAGACAGGCCAGTGCTGTTATATATTGATAGTATGTTCTTTTACTGCTAGAATTTAACCTTCGTATGGGGTGGGGTTCTACAGTGGGATATTTTTGTTTTATGTATGTATGTATGTATGTATGTTAAACATTTCTCTTTTTTCCCCCATTGTCACCCTCCCCCCCCTTTCTGCCCCATCCTTAGCTTTGTTATTCATGTCCATTGGTTATGTGTATAAGTTTTGTGGTTTATCTGTCCCCCCACCCCCTCTTCTGGGGATTGTCAGTCTTTACCTTATTTTCACATCTCTGGGACTACCCTGTTCCTCAGACTGTTGTTATGTTCATTATATTCCACACATAAGTGAGATCATGTGATATTTGTCTTTCTCTGCTTGGCTTGTTTCACTTAGGATAATACTTTCCAGGTCCCTCCATGTCGTCTCAAAGGATAAGAGATCTTTCTTTCTTTCTTACAGCTGCATAGTACTCCATTGTGTATATGTACCACAGCTTTTTTATCCATTCGTCTACTGATGGTCACTTGGGCTGTTTCCAGATCTTAGCTATTGTAAATAGTGTTGCTATGAACATGGGGGTACATACATTCTTTCTGATTGGTGTTTCAGGCTTCTTAGGGTATATTCCTAGAAGTGGGATCACTGGGTCAAATGAAAATGCAATTTTTAATTTTTTGAGGTAACACCACCAAAGTGGCTGCACCAGTCTGCATTCCCACCAACAGTGTACTAGAGTCCCCTTTTCTCCACACCCTTGTCACCACTTGTTTGATGCTTTGTTGATGGTGGCCATTCTGACAGGTGTGAGGTAATACCTCATTGTTGTTTTAATTTGCATCTCTCTGATGATTAGTGATGTTTAGCATTTCTTCATATGTCTCTTAGCCATTTGTATGTCCTGTTTGGAGAGGTGGCTATTTACCTTCTCTGCCCATTTCTTAATTGGGTTCTTTTTTTTTAAATCCTCACCTAAGGACATTTTTCAATATTATCTGATGTATCATTGGCAGTTATGCTCTCCCATACAGTGGGTTGACTTTTCATTTTGATGGTTGTTTCTTATGCTCTGCAGAAGCTTTTGAGTTTGATGTAGTCCCATGTGTTCATTTTTCCTTTGTTTCTATTGCCTTAGGTGATGTATCAGTGAAAATTCTGCTGCGTATGATGTCTGAAATTTTGTTGAACAGTGTTTGGCACATAGGTGTTTGCCAAGTGAATGGTACCCAGAATGCCAGTGAGGTTCAAGTTGTAAAGACTCACACAGTAATAGCTGTGGGGACTGTAAGGGAGATGTTTTGGAAGGTTTTTGACAGGATTTCAAAGCTGAATGTGAGGGAGAAATTTTCAAGTGGCAATATTACAGAGGGATAGAGATGTTAATGTTGAAAGTGTGGGTATAAAGATGGTAGTAGCAGCTTTGGGAGTAAATGTGATTTCTCTTAAGAATGAAGTGGGCCCTGGCCGGTTTGGCTCAGCGATTAGAGCATCGGCCTGTGGTCCGGAGAGACCCGGGTTCAATTCCCGCTAAGGGCACGTACCTCGGTTGCAGTTTGTCCCCGGCCCTGGTTGGTCGTGTGGGTGACGACCACTCGATGTGTCCCTTTCACATCGATGTTTCTCTCTCTCTCCCTCCCACTCTACCTGAACAAAAAATGGAAAAATGTCCTCGGGTGAGGATGTTTAAAAGAGAAAAAAAAAAAAAAAGAATGAAGTGGATTGTATACTGGGTGAGACCTTCACAGGAAATAACTATTGGAGGTTGCTTGTAGCTAAGGAGTGATTTCCATTTAATAACTGAGTGTGGTAAGTGAAAGTCTAGTTCTCCCCAAGGAAGACTTCCATGTTTTCTGTGTCTACTATGGATAAGCACTTGTGTGTTATCCCAACTTTGAAGTGTAGGAGTACATATTTTATAATGAGAAACATACGTAGAAATAAGTTAATCTGGCGGGCACATAGTTTGGGAGGATATGGGGAGCCAGTGTTGGTGCAGTGCCCAGTTAACACCAAACCCATTCACATTTCACAGTTCTTACAAGTTGACTAAATTGTTAACAGTTTATTTGGAATAAATTACATTGAAAATTAAACAGTCACAATATCCTAACCTCATTTTCTAGAAGCTCTCTAAATAACCATAGTTATGTTGTGATGTTTCCATATATATGCCATCTTTCACCAACAAGTCTTTGATATATATATATATATCTCAAAATATATATATATTTCTATATATATCAAAGACTTGTTGGTGAAAGGTGGTTATATTGAATACTAAAACATAAATTAGATTTTGAGATTTTTTTTCCCCAGCAAGTCTCAGAAAAACTTACTCTAAAGATCTTATTCTGTCAAAAGTGATCAACCATTGCTAATTTACCCTTTTTGATTTTTAAATAAGTCTGAGATAAACCTGAATAATAAGTATAATTGATCATGAGCCAGATTAAGTATTTACCCAAGGATTCTTAAATGGTGTTGAAATAATTCCCAAGTGGCAGAAAGGGGGGACTATAAGCACTGGGTTTGGGACTTGAATATTTGGGAGAGTTTATGGCAAGGTAACAAGTTTGAAAAGGACAGGTTTTTAAGCTGTAAATGTCAAGACATTTAAAAAACAGTGATGGTACCCTGGCCGGTTTGGCTCAGCGGTTAGAGAGTCGGGGTCATGTGGGAGGCAACCAATTGATGTGTCTCTCACACATCGATGTTTCTCTTCCTCCGGCTCTGAAGATAAATGCAAAAATGTCCTCAGGTGAGGATATAAAAATAAAAAACAGTGATGGTTAATGGACTTATAAACCATGAATACAAGATACAAAGTAGAACCAAAAAAGCAAAACCTAAATTTAGTTCCAAATCTTTATTTCTGTGGCTGAATATGCATTTCTTTTGTAAAACCTTGGCTGTTACAGGTTAAAAAGTTGATAGAGTTTAACTGATACTTTTTGTAAGAATATTCACTGGTGCTCTGGAGTCAGAATGAATCTAGGTGGCACAAAGGAAAAAAACCAAGCCAAGTGATTCATTTAAATGCCTCTTTCCACATAGTTAATATATTAAACAATAGATCAGTTATTGTAATTGTGTATAGCTTCAGGTCCACTTAGGTCCCTTAAGAAAATATCAGAAATTCCTTGCATAACCTAAAAACAACTAAGGTTGGAGGAGTGGGTGCACTGTGGGCAAGGAGAATAGACTGAAAAAAGCTACAACCAAAATTTACTATTTGAATTTGGCCAGCCAAATAGCAAATTTATTTCTCATTCCCTTGGCATTTACTTAAACTGACCAATTGTGATACCTCTTTATTTGTTTTTTCAAATCTTCACGTGAGGTTTTTTTTTCATTTTTAGGTAGAGTGGAAGGGAGTTAGGAGAAGAGAGACACATCAATGTGAGAGACACATTGATTGGTTGCCTCCCACACATGCCCCAGCAGGGGCTAGGGATTGAACTGGCAACCCAGGTACGTGCTCTTGACTGGGAATCGAAC